ATCGCCCGACTCAGTCGCCTCCCAAAGTGCTATCATTACCAGACCCCGATTTCTCGACAGGTTGAATTTCAAGCCAAAATTTACATTGTCCTTGTTGAAGATGAATCAATAAGTATGGTCGCTGCGCTAAATGTATTGAAAGCTTGATATAACACCTATAACTAAGAGCATCCGTGTAGTTTCAATGACCTGAGCGAAACTTTGAAATTTGTGAAAATGGCAAAAAGGTTGTGTGGTACTATGTATCACTCAAAAAAAGGATTCTTGCCTATTTGTGGTACATCGAATGAAGAAACAAGCAAAATGAGCAGCTATATTTCTACAGTAGACTATTTGAAAGGAAACCATTTTGAAGAAAAAATACCCGAATGTGGTAACACAGAAACAAAGAAAACAGTCTTGGAAACTTTACAAACTATAGTAATTGGTTCAGAAACTCAATTTTAGAGCTAAGGCACGTTGGATTAGTAGCTGCTTGTCTTCAGGCTTTTCGATGATACAATAGGATCCTAAAAGACAAGACGATTCAAGGTGAAAAGATAATAACAATCTCCTAAGAAATGTCAAAAAACAGAAGGAGGAAGCCTGAAAAGTTATGATGTAACTTACCAAGAAACGCTTCTGGATGCTGAGGAAGAAGAATACTTTCTAAAGATTCCAGCATTTCTGGAAAAGACTTCGTTCTCGATGCAAACTGTTTCATCAAACTAGCCACATCCTTGCATTTTTTGATTTCAGTCAGCTAAACAAAGATACTGAGATGTTACAACAATGAAAAATCATATTTTAAGGGCACTTACAAGTACGAAGTATTCCTTTGGGCTGAGGTGCACTATTTGTTCGTACTGAGCTGGCAATTTCGTTGCACGGCTAACATTTGGACATTGTGATAGGTTGCTTGGACACCGCTGTAATATGTGAAAACTAGTCAATTGGTCGTTACGCCTCCAAAGCCTTCTTGAGTAAATAGCTTTCTTGAACAATCTGACTTCCACGACTAGCAAGCAGCTGAATGAAATAAGACAAAAAAGCACATTGATGAATGTCTATCTGATCCAGAAAGATAAGATGTTCAAAGAAGTATTGTTGTAATGAGCTGTTCTTCACCTGAAATAAATCCAAAAAGAGGAAAATTACAGAAACATAATTTTCAGCTGTACTTGTACAGTATGAGACTGAGCTGTTACCAAGTTTTATTTTGAAGATCTACTATTCTAAAACACAATTATAGTATGCTGATCACAGCATACAAAATGATACTTCCACATCACGTGAAATTCACTTCTATGCAAATGCGCAAAGGTAGACTTTACTACCAGGCATCGACAGGGAGGCCCAGCATTTTGTGCTTTCATTCTAACAACCTGAACCTGGAGTGAGGCTCTTGAGAAAAGAGAGCCTGATTGGGAGAAAGCGCTGCAGAGGTCACTTAACTCCAGACGCTATTATCCTGCATCGTATAAACTGCAGACGCTTTTTTTCTGTAACGTGATTTCGCTTTCGAACAAACTAGTTGGGCGCTAGGGCGCAACGTCCACTTATGTATAATCCGGCGTAGAGTGCTAGTGGTTAACTCAAAAAACGCACGCTAACCTCATTGGAAGCGATTTTAAGAGCAGCCGATTCATGACGCTCAGGAGGCTAGCGCGAGGCAGTGATCGATAGGCCGGAGGAGGACTGCCAATTCAACGAAAAGCGTAGAGCAATGTCGCCACACTGACGTTACGCCCTCATATTGGCCGCACACTTCGTCGCAACTTCCTTGACGTCTCCTGAGGAACGAACAGTCATTGGCGTGTGCGCGAACCCGCATTCATGTGGACGACGGCGTTCAATTTCTTGCTCGCACTGCTCATATTCGCCTTCAACTTGCTTGTGTTAATTGCCATCTCCTCTGACAAACATCTGCACTCTACCACTCATCTGTTAAGCTGTAATCTGTGGCTTTGTAACTGTATCTCGGCCATAGTCACTATTTTCTTCAGCCTAACTCCATCCAATCAAGATGTCGTTCACTGCTCAATAGATGGCATCTACAGACTTGTGAGTGTCATCTACAAGTAATATGAGGTAGATAATTCTGTCATGCCACGTTACCTCTTAAGATGGCGATAAATGGCGATTTAATGCAACGGTTCCGTTCATGGAATGATGAATGGAGCAGTGTTGAGCAATCAGGAGCACATGCTGCTGCTGTGCTGCTTAACTCAACTGTAAGCCTGCTCAGTCTGCTCACTATAGGAGTTGTACACTCTCTTTCTCGGCACAATTACCACCTGTCAAAGTAGGTTATTACACGTCTATAACTAGTTTTTCGCGTACTTTTACAAGTTTTTGTCTTATATCCCTTCTTGTCTGCATGTTCAAAATTATTCATTCAAAGTCAAGAGACAGCGTTTTCAATGCTCATCCGAAACACAACAATTTATG